TGATTATTCATTACTAAATAAGAATTAATTGTTGACTTTTGGTGTCGTATCCTTCTCTTAGTTGAATTAATTATTAAGTTAACTAACGATATTTAGGGGCAAAATGTATACCTTGCAAAAGTAAAATGCATTCCTTAAAATTTGTAAATATGTCAAAGAGGAATAACATTATGTGGCAAGGGGTGATAGTACTTTTTAAACTTGTTTCCTTTCAAATTTTGACACATTGTTGGGCCACTTTTTATTTTATCAACTATTATTCTTTTCATGTGTTTTTGCTTATGCTATGTTCTGTCCCTGGTAATCTTTTCCTCCTCCTAACTGCCACTTATTAAATTATGTCTTAACGGGAGACTTCCTTTTGGTTTACAGATCCGAGGAGGCTGGAAATATTGGCTATGTGATACCAACTATGGTTGTATCTCATTTTCTGAATGACTATGAGACGAATGGGAAATATAGAGGCTAGAATCTCTTCTTAACTTGCACTTTTGGTACTTTTGTGTGTGTGAAATTTGTATTATGCGTGCATTTAAATCTGTCCACATATTATTAGATTTTGAGAAGTAGTGCATTAGGTATCTATTCCCTTTCACAGTATTGCGCAGGGGACATCGTTTATGTTATTGTTAATTTATGATACAAATTCATTCTTGTGAATTTTAGAGATGTAGTATCAATATATCTGTTCACATCCTTCAAAGATGTTGATGCATAAGGTTCTTATGCATCCAAAGCACCACTTGGAGCTACAATTAGATTTGATGCAAATGGTTCATGTGATTTCCAACCAAAGCATCACTTGGAGCTACGATTAGACTTTTGCCACGGTTTTCATGTCATCATATAAATGTTTGCCTATTTTTATAATTGCACATAATTGGAAGATGAACTAAAGATACTTTTAACAGAGTGCAATGACTTTTGCACTCTGTGTAGTTTATGTTCCATGAATGACTTTTGGATGTACAGCTATTTCTTACTGCCTGCCACTTACCTGAATAACCATTACGCTAATATTCTTCTTCTATCATTGACTATCATTCTGTTATTGATATGTGATTCACAACAAGTAGTGAATGATGAATATCAACATGATGTGGCATTTTCTCCAGAAGTAAAAATAAACAAATAAAAGCCATTCATTGAGTTCCTGGTTTCCCTTGCCTTGGTGTATTGCTGCAGAAGTCAGAGAATCCAGCACTACGAGCATGCTTACAAGTTCAGTCTATTGAAGTACTATTACTACAACTTACACAGCATAGAAAGCTCAATGCACAAGTGCAGTTGTACTTACATGCACACATATATTCTTGTTTGCATTTTCCCTGGAGTGCACATGTTTTGCACTGTTGTTTGTGGATGGTGGATTCAAGAAGGATTGCATGGTAGGAGTTGGATATCAGAATTGTGTTGTAGATCTGTGGAAGAGAGTTAAAGCTAAAGCTTTGGAGGAGATGGTGGAAACTGACTGATGTGAAAGCTGTGTATGAGGGTACTGGGTATGAGAGAGATAAAGCCTTGAAAAATTGAAACATGTTCAGCAATGAACCAGTACCGGGAAATTGTAAAGAAATTTAAATTAAGGCCAGATTATGTGTAGTGTTTATTATAATTGTCTAATTGCTATGCTTTTTGTTCTGATCTCCTATAATTTGTTGAAGTTCCGGACTAGGTTTGAGAACATGATTTATGTGCTGTCTAACATGCAAGAATTTGTTAAAGTTTTGGCGAAAAGGCTTGCTAAGTGTCAGTTATCAATATCAAATGAACATGGAAATGTAAAAGCATTCATTCAGAAATGGGTGAACTTAGAGATGGAATCATATATGAGTGGTTGTTATCCGGGTTGTCCATGTAGACTGCCCAAAGCAATTTTGTTTCTCCTGAATTTCATTATCAGGCCTCATTTGATTAGCAAATTACCTGTTTTCCATTGGTATATCTGATACAATTTTGCAATACTTATTTCTAATCTTTTTTAAACTTGACATTGTCATGTCTGTTGAGTAATTCATTTCCATATATGTTTCCATTATAAAATTTGACTTCCACAGGTTCGAAGGGTTGAAAGTACTTCGGATGCAAATAATGTTACACAGTAGGTTTGCTGGCAATGTTCACAAGTATCAAAGCGTGTTGCACATTTAGTTCCATTTTATTATCTCATTTTTCTGTGCTTACACCATAAATGGTTAGTAATTTGAGTTTTGTTATTTATTTCTATTTGTTGTCATTAGAGTCCGATTTCCTCACAGATGATAATAGAAGCCTAATGATAAGGATTTTTTTGGCCTTCTTTAGACATTGTGTATAACTATATGTTAGGATGATAAATGTTTATTTTACATTTCTAGGGGACTTGATTGTGAGTTTTGATGATGTTCGTGTGGGTTCTGAAGGAACAGTTCCATTGAGATCAAGTGAGCACATTGCATTCCACTACCTCATCAGTCAAAAGTAATGGGTCCTTTTCTCTGCCAAAAATCGCATTAAAAACTGCATATCATATTTTTCTACTCTATTTAGTAGTTTATGCAAATATATTGCTGAATGACCATTCTTATTTTTTGTGTTTTCAGTCTTTTCAATCTCCCATGATTTATATTATCCTTTCCTTTCTTTCTTTAGGCATTCATTTTATATTCCTGTAGTATAAGTTAGTCATGTATCCAATTCAGGCTCTTTTGCAGATTTGCAGGTGATGTCACAGAGCTTGGTATTATTAGAGCAGGCAAATTCATGAAAGATAAAGTAGTTTTAAACCCCAGATTACATTTGGTATGCAATTAAAGTCCTGTTATATTTGTTACATTTGCTGTCATTTTAGGTACTAATGATTTAGATCGCCTTATGTGTGGCTTTCTAGGTTTGCTATCATATTGATGGAGGTCAACCTTCACATCGAATTATTGCTGGTTTGGTGTTTACCCAACTTTCAGAACCATTAATAGAGTAAGTGTGTCATTCCAGTCACTCCCGCAATTTATTCAATTCTTCTTATGAATGGATTAATAATGGGATACTAATGCCGATCATGAAGTTCATGTACAATTTTCGGGGAGGAGTGCAAAGAGTCTATAGGGGTAAGTCGTAAATTCTAAAAAACTAATGAAGCATGATATTCTACCAATACAGTGTATTTTGATATCAGAGTGCTTTTGAGGTTTGACAAGTTCATGTACACAGGTTCCTTCTTCTTAATGGAAACTGCTAGCTAAGGCATGGTACTGTTTGGCAAGGTTCAAAGGAGAACAGAATCTGATCCTATCACAGGTGCGCTGCTTATGATATAAAGTTTGACATTGACAGCTAAAGGCAAACTCTTACTTAAGAATATGCTTCTGCAGTAACCTTCTAACTAGTTCTTAATGCAATAATAATATGCTTGTGTTGCCAATGGAAAACCTCAGTAGTTAGAACTTGGAGGTCTCTAGTTCAAATTTTGGAATAGGGGGGTTTATGAGATAAGGCAGGGTTATCTCTTGTCATAACCATTGTTCTGACTGTCATAATAATTTGCTTGTGTTAGAATGGGGAAATTTCAACTTGGAGGTCTCTAGTTCAAAATTTTGGAAGAGGGGGGGTGGGGTTATGAGATGACACTTGGTTATCTCTTGTTTTGTAGTTCAAACCTCCAAGGCCCAATGAGTCTTCATAAACCCCTAAAGAAGAGTTTCATTCCATTAATATGACTTTATCATATCACAGAGCATGACTTTTCTTCACGGGAATTTTGAAACATTATTTTGGAGCTTGAGACATGGGCAAGCAGCAGGTGGGTTTTATAGATCCTCATTACAACTTGCCTCTGCCAATTTATTTGCATGCGTTAAATTTAAAAGTTTCAGTTTTTAAAGTTCAATGGAGCTTGAGTAAAATACATTCGTCACCTACCACACCTTGTTACTTGTAAGTGCTAACATCCATTATATCTAGTCTTCATCATCTTTCTGTTAGGTAGTTCCCATGGCAGCCTGTATTCTTGGTCAGGTTTTAAGGACAAGTATCTAGTTTTTGAATTTGAAGAAACTTACCTAGCTGTTTTTAAGAGGAAAGCAACTATGGCTGCCTCATCTTGCATTCTCAAAGATTATGGTATTCCGTCTGAAAGATCTGATGACCTTTTAGAGCTATAAGTGGATTCATTTGGAGACAACCAGGCAAATAGAGCAGGATTTTGGGGATGGTCCTGTTTCAAATTTGGAGATTGGCTTTGATGGACTCGTTTGGGCGTAATTATTAACAGTTGCGAATCCAGTTTGATCATCTTGGCTATCAATGGTCAGGGGATAAAAGAAAATCCTGGCTCGGAAATTATGATTGAAAGCTTCAGTTTGCCACGCCAAAATTTCAATAGCTTATGATTCCTTGAAGCCCGTATCAAAATAGCAGAGTGCCATATCTTACATTTCCCCTCGTCCCGTGGGTTATCAAGTTTTATAATTTGGTTTTAACAGTTTTCCACAACTCTTGATTGATTAAGGGGAGCGTGGTTGCATGCACAGAACCAGGATCAGAATTAGGCTGCAGTAAACTTCGAGAGCGGAGAGCATTTGATGCAAATATTTTGAAACCAAAAAAAAAGGAGGTTAGATTGTTATCACTCAAATGAAATGGAAATATAAAAAGATATTATCCCTAATATTGTCATCAAGTTCTAGGATGATTGAGGCTATAGCCTCCTCATTGCTAGAATATTGAGTGGTTATCGCATCTCTCTCGGATCACAGAGAAAAATAAAACTATTCTGTTTGAGTGATTATTCGTTTAAGTTCGCTTGAAGCAGCCTGCCTCCATCTTATTACAACTTTCGACACGCATTCAAATATCGTTTAGACGCATGCATTTGTATATAGGCACAATGTCATAACTACTTGTATTCTACTCCAAAGATCTTTTTGTATTAGACTGTAAAGTTACCTGTCCATCTTGCTAGTCATGTAAGGTTTGAGAAGCAAATTTTTGAACTGTGCAGACACGGTAAGTAATTTCCAGAATTTTGTAGCTATAAAAGTTGTAACAAACAATTTTTTTTCCCAATGCCATGACAGTTATTTGAGGAAAAGCTGGTTGAGTGCAACCTCATGAGAAAGAAAATTTCAAAGGTTACATATGAATTAACTATAGTATAATAATTCCTTGTTCAAAGGAAACGTTTCATTACAGAAGTGATTTGATATCACTGGCTATGTTGTTTGCATCAGCACTTGCCCCATACAATCCTCTTCTCGACAATCCAGCGCAGTACAAGCCATTCTTTCCCTTCCAATGGTTCGGGAAACTCGGTTTCGGAATTCCATCATCGTTCAGCAGGTACTCATCTCCCTGCTCCAAAAAATACACTTGTTTTAGTTAATAGCGGCAGTGTTCAATCATTCCTCTAAGAATGCATGATAATACTAACAAACTTCTAGATTTTATTTCTAACTATTATTGGCTTTTTTTTTTTCCCCTTTGAAAAGGCATACTCAATTGTTATGTTACCTTAAGCCAGATATTTGTGGACCGCTTGAAGCCAGTGCAGAAGACAATTGCGTCAAAGGGATGTGTTTTGCCGCTCTGAAACACCACCTCATTGCCTCTTATACTCGATATAGCTGGCAACACCTGCAACGTTTGCATGTTTTGATATTTTAATAACGCCGATTAACATCCAATTGATTTGAACTTCAAAGACAAGAAAGCAAAAAAATTGGGGCCAGTACTAGTGGTTCTTTCTCCTTTTGTCGACTTATTATTTCAAAAAAAAAAAAAAAACAAAACAAAAACTCCTATCCTCCAATCTTGTACGGACAGATCCATGCCACAGTTGCTTTTAAACTAGTATCTATTAATCGTTGATTGCCCCAACCGCGAAACTAATAAATAGAAAAAGAAATTGAAAAGCAAAAGAGACTCTTCGATTTTAAGCTAATTACGCCATTTGCTGATTGCAAATGACATGATAAAGGTGGACATCAAGTCAAACTCATTGTTCACCACCAACTTGTTGGTTCACGTAGCTACAAACCCAAACCATAGATAAAAGAGAATGAGAGCCTTAATTCCGCCATCAACAAGCAATGAAGCATTGGAGTCAATCTCCAACCCTTCTAACGAGGTAACAGTTCCATCTAAAGCAATTAAGCAGTTGTAAATAAACAACAATGAACTGAAATACCTTCACGGCTAAGTCAATTGACTACTCTTTCTTTAGAATACAAGAAACGTTTATGAAATAGATATTTTATAATGATTTTTAGTTTAGAAGAGAAAAGAAACAAAGAAAGGAAATTTCTATATTAAGTATTATATTCCTTGAAATAATCTAATTACATTACCTGAATCTCCCGAGACTTGATCTTGTTAAAGGTTCCTACATCAAAAACAGGGTACTTGCCATAGGCCACTTTCATGAAAAATGGCCCCTCCTTAGGCCTTGTGATTCCGTACTTGGTCAAGTCCCCGTAAACAAGCTTGCTAAGCATGACCATGAACGAGTCCACCACGTTAAGTGGTATATATTTTAACAGAATTAACCCCACGTACACAATCTCCCTCGAAAGAATGTGAACCTGCAGTCACAAACAGTGATCACCAATCATTGATATGTAAACAAATGCAGATTTTGTATTCTCTCCAATGCGTTAAGAGAGTCAAGTTTGATTCGAAAGTAATCAAATTAATGAAGAGGAATGAGATCAATATCTTTTTACCGGGCTGCGAACAACAATGGATGTTTTGGCACCGTGATTTGCCAGGTCCAGTGCGATCTCCATGCCAGAATTGCCAGACCCAACAACCAAAACATTCTGGTCTCTAAAGGCCTTCCCATTTCTGAACTGGGTTGAATGGATAACATCTCCAGGGAAAGTATTTAATCCTGCGATCTCAGGTGTGTAAGGGTTGCTTGTTTCTCCACTAGCCACCACCAAAAATCTCCCTGTGAACTCCTCAATCTCACCAGAATCCAAGTTCCTGCCCTTAACAATCCATTTCTTGCTTGATTCATCGAACTTGGCCAACTCAACGCATCTCCGGTACAAAGGACTGATCTTAAAATGAGAAACGTAATCATCCAAGTAGCTTACGAATTGTTCTTTTGAGATAAATCTTGGATAAGAGACGGGAAATGGAAGATGAGGAAGCACACAGAATTGCTTATCTAAGTGAAGGTGGAGACGATCATAGGCATATTTCTTCCAAAGAGAAGCAAAACAATCTTCTCTTTCTAGGATCACGTAAGGGATTGAGTGAAGATTAAGGCAAGCCGCTGTAGCCAGGCCAGAGGGGCCGGCTCCGACGATAATGACCAGTTGTTCTTGCATCGCTCGAGTCACAGTTTCTCTCAGTTTGGTAGTGCCAAAATAAGAAGCAAAATGGTTCTCGGGGCATGGAATCAGAGATTGGGGGGGTGAGGTGTAGATTTATACCATCCTTTTAAGAATAATATTAGACAAATACTTAATTATTACAATTTATTCTTTATACTTTAACGAATCTCTCAGTTACAAACTCTTAAAATTTAATAAAATTAGGTATTTGGTCCAATAATAAAGTACATGTATCTTTTATTTTTATTAAATAAGTTGTGCAGAATATTGATAAAATATTAAATTCTTAATTTAAATTATTAAAATTTATATCCTAACAACATTAAATATAAAAACATGTATTTGAAAAACTTGACGAATTTGTAAAAACGCTAAAAAAATATTTGTTTTTTTTAAGTAAATAAGTAGCACTAGAGTTTGTCATTCTCTTTGTGGTGAAAATTTTGGTTGAGTTGTAAAGGTAAGAAGTTTTAATTAAAAAAAAATGTAATATTTTTATATGAATTTTCATAAACTATTTTGAACTTTTTTTGAAAACTTTGTTGCATTATCGTTGGATTCAATTCTTAAATTCATATTACAGCATTGTTTCCTAATAATAAATAAACTTTAAAGATCACATTGGACCATTTTCTCTTCCTATAGGGTTATTTATATTATCTTGTATTTTCATATATAAAAAATTCATAATCTATATATATTATATATAGAATATAAGCACTGTCTAACTAGATAGGATAAAATTTACATGAAATTTTTTAAATGAAATTTGTAAATTTTTTTTTTTTAGAAAATGGTTTAACAAAAATTTCAATAAAAATTTCAAATCGAAAGACTGATAAGATTTATTATAAAAAACAATAATTTAAATTTAATCGATATTTATTAACCATAAAAATTGTGTCAATATTTTGACTAAAAATATCTATCTAAAAAGTATATAAAAATTTATTAAATTTTTTAATGCACATTTAATCTATGTAATGAGATTTTTTAATTTATTATTTAAATTTTAAATTTTATTTAATTATTTTTAGTAGAAAACTTCACATACTTAACTTCATCTAAATCTTCCCAATTAGGTGGTAATTGATTTTTTTGGATAAGTAGGTGATAATTAATTTTGGAACAATAACTATCTAGAAAGATAGAAATTCAATTTTATTCTATCACTACTTTAATACTCATATTAAATTAAATTCATTTAATTTAGATAGTTTAGTAGATTCAGCTTGGTACGGCTTTGAAAATTAAAACAAAATTAAAAAAAAAAAACTAAAATACTAGTAAATTTGCTGGTAATTAATGAAACTGAAAGTAGCTAAAACACTAAATAATTTCAAAACTTATTATCCCATTTTCGTATATAAAAAAGTTAGAAAATAGAAGGAAAAAAAAAAAAGATCTTTTACAATGCAAAGGTGACGTTACTTGACGTGCAATTTAGGCTTATGTATCCATCTGCCAAATTGACAAATCATATCATATAATTATATATATGTGATACAGATCCACGTATGCTCTGGTTGGTGGGCTTTGATTGAAAATGATGGTTCGATCAAGAGGTTCTCCTGCTTTCTATCTTCATTTTAATTTTAATTCAAATTTACAAGAATTGTATTATTAAAAAAAATTAGATTTACATCGTATTCATTGAAAAGTCAATTTGTGTCGATTGGATGACATTTTATGCTAAACAATGAACCCAGACATTTGATGAAGTCAGGGAATCTGGCGACGAAATTAAATCTCTTTTGTATAATGATGTTTGGTTTTTTTAGATCGATTAGATTGTAAACTAAATCTACACTTTTGTTTTTAAAAAAAATGGTTCAAAAAAGGAAAAAAATTCATTGATAAAATCATTAAAATAAATAAATAAAACATTTATTTATTTTGTGTGTGTTAATTTAATTTGTTTGAATCGATTAGGTGAATTTTATTTTAGGATTTGAAATATAAGTTTATACATTATATTTTATTGTTCACTTGATGTGTTAATTTATTTTTTTTATAATTTATTTATCTTTTTATTATTCTTATTTAAGTAATTCATTTGTAAAACTTTTATGTGGACTTGATTTAACTAAATTTAATTTGAAATCATTATGATACTAGATCGTGTGTTTATCAATTTTATTTGTAAACTTTAAAATTTTCAAAAATAAAATCAAATTATGATTATTACAGTAGTTGATTTATATATATATATATATTAATTACTCAAATAATACAAAAAAAAAGAAAAAGATCTAATATAAGTTAATAGAAGATTAACATGCATCTTTTTTTATTGATTGTTTTAATAAAAAAATCATAATTTAAAAATTAAAAAATATATAAATACTAAAATTTAAACTTTAAACATATCAAATATCGTCTCTCTTTAATTTTCTGTCGATATTAACAATAAGATGGCATTTTAAATCAATAAATCAAATATAAAATATTTATTCAAAATTTAAAAAAAAATTATATTAAAAATTCAAACAGAAAACCTAACATAAAATTCATCTAACATTCTAAAATGAAAGCTATATTCAACTCTCAACATCGTTGACATGCTGTAAAATTTCATTTCATGATAGACGACAGAAAATAAAGCATTATTTGCCTTTTGAGCTGTCACTTGTCATGACGTCTATGATGAACCCTAGTTTACGTCTGCTTTACCGTTTAGGGTAATTAAAATTATTTTTGTATTTAGTCATGAAAAATGATATTTGGATGCAAATATTTATTTATTTATTTTTACGTAGTCAACTCAACGATGTATATACAAATGCAAGTGTGTTATGTTGTTGCAATCTATGACTTTTTTTATTATACTAAACAAGGGAAAAAAATTGGAAGTAGTTCCAATTTTTAAATGCTAAATATATCAAATGTTAATATATTAAAATGTTGATTTTTAAATAATTATATAAATCGAATTCAATTTTGTGAACTTCTTTTATGTAAAAATAAATAAATAAATAAATAAAATGAGGATTGAGAAGTAATTATATAGTAATTCCATTCTTTCAAAATGCAACATTTTGGTTAATGAATAATGAGAATCATGAAAATGGTTAATGCCCAAATATCGATGAAACTGCATTGTTTTCTTGGCAAAAGCAATAACGACATGAAACTTCCTGACGATTGATTATTAATACAGTTGAATTTTCTTCAAGGTTTGACAGAGATGTTCTAGCGACTGAATTAATGATCGATGTTTATTGTATAGTACTAAAATTGCAATGACAATTGACAACAACAAAAAATAAATAAATAAAGGGTTTTAAATTTCGAAATTGTAGAGGTTATGGCAAAGGTATGATCAATTGCTAGCTAGTGTGAAATGATTCGAGGATTGAGTTGACACTGAATTTTGCAAAAGTAGGAGTCCTCTGCTGGAAAGAAAGTGTGGGGTTTGGTGTGGAAAGAGAAGCAAGAAAATGTCTCCCCTCTCTCGTTTCCGTATAGTTATCAAAATCAACTTTTTTTTTTTTCAAGGTATGGTCTGTTTTGCTAGCTATTTTCCTAACAATTGAAAATCAATTTCATGTTTCTTGTGGGTCTGGATGCCATGTATGGAAGAATCCCACCTCTTCGTGAGTCTAATAGAAGTCTTTCAACTCTATGAAACATCTGGCAGTAAAATTTGGTACCTTTCTGTCCTGGAAAATGATTCAAAAAAAAAAAACGATAATTCCAGCCTATTTCTGCAGCAATTTAATTCGGTGCACCGCCTTTCCCCTGTTCGTTTGAAGAAATCATTATTTCCTTTTAGGAAGCAGTTGTTTGTTTTTTTCAGTATTTGAAGTCGTAAAGATTAAGTTTTAATCAACCATTCTATTTATGAAATAGAACGTACGAGTGTTGATTTTTTTTTCTTTGTGAGGCTTAAATCATGAACATGTAGGAGATTTGATATTGTCACGAAATTTGTTATCTCGTAGCAGGAAAACGTTGTATATTCACCTGCTGGTCAATGAAATCTTCTTGATTGAATGATATCAGGATTTGAATATGGTTTTGGCCAAGCATGTTACGCATGTTTCACCCAACAAGAACCGATTTTGCAATTTCCTCGTGGGCTTCTTTCGTTTTCTATAAAGCTTATCTCATGTGAATAGGTTGAAAAATTAAGGAGTTTGTTTAAGTTCTTTCAACACATTGCTGTCTTTCCGTAAAAGCCAATCACAAAATATTATTGACAAAGAGGATTGCATTAGTAATCTCCTTTATTCTATCTAGACAGGTTCAAATTCAATTGCTTGTGGTTTTCAAATTCATTATCAACATTTAATTGGCTCCCAAACAAAGGAGATAGAGATAAACTAACGTGTTGTAAAGTCAACGTAAAGGATACATGTTTGTGGATTATCGCGGTATGTTTCGAGTTAACCAAAAGATAGAAACAAGGACTTTTATTTTTATTTTAGAAGCAAACCATACTCAATTAAGTACCCCCTCCCCCCCTAGATGTCATCGATATTAAAAATTACAACTAGTTTTATCAACATTCTTCAAAATTAGTTCAGAAGAAACATATCTAATTCACGTAAATAACGAAAAGTAAATATTTAATTAATGCCTTACTTCTAGGATGTCTAATACTAAAGATTTCTTGAGAGTAGTTGAATTATGACATAACAAGCATTAGTAGAAAATTAATTAGTACTCTAAACTTAAATCTCACGTCAATCATATATGAAACTCAAATGAATGATTTTTTTAATTATCATGTACTGTCATTAGTGAGGATGTAAATGAAAATAGAGTTTTTGACAAATTATTTATAAATATATTTTATTTTTGTTCATTTATTAAATTTAATTAATAAATAATTTTAAGTAATATTTTTGTATTTATTTATTAAACAAACCGAATACGAATAGGAATTTATTTAATTTGTTTGTATTCGTAAAAAAAATTTATTTAAAGATTATTTAGAACTCATTCATTTAGTAATCATTTATTGTTCAATAATAATAATATTATTATTATATCTTTATTTTGTACTTTAATTTTATTTTAGGATTCATTTATGTTTTGTTTTTATTTTTATTTTTATGAAATAGGGCTTTTGGAGTTTGTATTTTTCGAGGTGAATTTTCGGAGTTGGGTTTCATTTTACTACCTTCACTTTAATTGATTTTATTTTATTTTTTATTCCAACAAGATGATATAAATGCATGTCTGTGCGTCCCCAAATAAATTGCAATATCAAGTAAAGACTCAAAATAATTCTAAATTGGATAAAAAAAAAAAAAAAAGGAATAAGCAGGGGACATATGAAAACAATAAGCCTCTTAGATCAAACAAGTTTAGATCTTAGCCTTCAGACCATGATGTTTGAGGGAAGTTAACGAGTTTCATGGGCTAGATGGGCTTTAGCTTTCTTTAGCATACTTACGTGAGGTGGTGGAGGCTTGAACCCAGCACTTGAGGTCCACACAAGCCCCTTACTACTATAAGGCCGATGCTACTGGGACAAACCCCAGTAGGCTATGGGCTCACCTTTGCTTTTGGGTTTGGACCAAAGTTTTTGTTTGGGTAGTAAAAAAGAATGTGTTCAACTGTCCAACAGCCTGAGGGCTATAATTAGCGCAAGCCACGTAGTTAGTGTCAATTTTGAAGGATCCGATTGATCAGTGACGTTAAATGATTTAAGGTTTAAAAACAATGGTTTAATTCAATCGGTTAAGGTCGTTCTTTTTTATAAAAATATATTAAATTTAAGTTTTATCTGTGATCATTTGTTGGAATTAAATTATTAAGTACGACACATATTGTCTTGATTTAAGAGACTGAACAATCTATCTACCCTCGAATTTTTCTCTAGTCAAGATAAATGATTTAAGGCTTATTTCATTTAATGTAATATTTTTTTCAAATTATTAAAATAAAAATATTATATATTTTATTATTTTATTTAAATAAATTTTCATATTTTTATTACATTCAAATAAATTCTTAAATTTTTACCTATATTCAAATAAATCTTTAACTTTTAATTTATTCTCTATCTTTCTCAAATTATTTAAATTTTATTAATTTTCATAGAGTTTAAAAATAAGTTAACTTTAATGTATTTAATATTAAATCTTTAATTTTTTATAAAATTAAAGTTTCACAATTTTTTATAAAATTAAAGTTTCACAATTTTTATTGTTAAAAATTAAAAAAATAAAAAATAAATTAGATATTAAAAAAAAAGATATAACTTTGTAACATTGGAAAAAGGATGAACAACGAAAATAAAATGGAAGAAATATAAAAATAAAATTTGGATCTTTAATTTATACTTAAATAAACTCTTACATAAATCCATGTTTCATTTAAAATAAAGATTTATTTGAATACAAATTAAAAAATAAGGACTTAAGAACTTATTTGGGTAAAATAAAAATATGAAAATTTATTTAAAAAATAAAAAAGAAGAATTTTTTTATTGTTTAATCTTACCAAATTTAAGAAGAATAGTGTATTTAATTATATATTTTTTAAATATCACCTGAATCAGTGCCTAACATTTTCCTTCTCAATTACTTCTTTTGTCTTTAACTCTTTCTCCATATTTATTTTTAATTAAATTAAAAAAATTAACTTTTGTGTAGTTAATGGTAAAATTTTAATTTGTTATAAAAGTGATGATCCATAGTTTTTAAAGTAAAAAAAAATGTAAAAAAATTATAAAATAATTTTAATATAAAAAGTAAGAGGTATTTTTTTATCAATAAAAAGAAGTAATAGGGCTAAATTTGAACCTTCCACCACATAAACTAATGTTAATTATCTTTCGAAGAAACAAAAATAATAATGTTAAGAAGTTTGAAAATGGCCTACGATTCAAATAGTACTAGAAACTGTCCAAAAATCCAAACAAGAATAGAAGCCGAAAAGTTGAAAATTTTCTCTCTTTCCCATAAAATGGACTTTTGTAATCATTGACCATTAAGGCCTTATGATTAATTCCTTCAACCACTCATTTTGAATGTTCAAGTGTCGAACAGAAATCAGTTGCTTTCACTGACTGTGTTTTTCTCTTAGGTTATTGAAAAGAAACTCCGGGCAACGGAAAAATGTAGCACTTTTCCAAAACCAGGGCAGGCATTACTCAAAACCAATTTATTTACGAATTTTCAACTCCATTGTCATGACCTATTGTTTCTTTTATAGGTTTAGTTCTCTATTTTTGTACCAGAAAGCAAGAATGTCACGGATGAAACATAGCCAAAAACAATTCAGTGGAAAAGGATAAAGGAAACCCGGCTATCATCATGTGCTCGAGAGGAAAATAACATATCCACATTGTCTGGTAGCCAATCTGCGGAGCTGTATAAAAGTTGCCAAATCATCTGTTGACATACGGCTCTCTCTCTCTCTCTCTATCTCATGTCCCCACCAGCACTTCCTTAGCTTTAAACTTTTTAAGCCTTAATCATGAACCTCATCACATTCTTCTCAATATCATTTTTTGCATATACTCTCTTCTTTCTCCATATATTCATTTATTGAGGTTTCATAATTTGGGAATTTATACCAATTCATCATTCAATGGCTTCGCTTTGGTCACCCTGGGGAATATTGTTCATGGTTTTCATGGCTTGTTTTTCTTCACTAGCCTTATCTTCATCTCACATACATGTACAATACTCCACTATATCAGCTGCACCTGCATTCTTGCCAAGTACTCCTCTAGCCTCTTCTCCAAGTTTACCCCCAGATATTGAACCTCTGTTCCCTACTCCTAAAGGTATGGCACCTTCTCCAACTGATTCATCACTGCCCACAATTCCTTCAAGCCCCAGCCCTCCAAATCCGGATAATATTTTGGATCCTGGTCCTGGTTTCGCACTTTCACCATCTGACTCTTTGCCAAATTCCACTTCGGTTTCTCTAACTTCAGCTCGAGCTCTAAAATCAACATTGTTTCTTAGTTTGCTGGTGCTTTGCTTATTGCAGCAGCTTTCTGGTGTGTGAGGTACTGTTGTTGGCAAACGCAATCATTGTTCCTAGTGCCTTCACTTTCTCTTTTTTATGTTTTGTGTATTTCTTTTTTGTAGTGTGATGTTTGGTAAATTAAGTGTATTGCATTGTTGCAAGCTGTGATTAGATAATAATGTCATAAACAAATGAAGTCCTCTCCATTAATGTACGTTGAACCATAAATCAATAGAAATGTAGCATAAAGATTTTTACTTAGACCAATAGAAGCTCTGTTTTGTTCCAAAAATGCTTATATAATTAGTTCAAAGACTACATTAAGTCAAACTTCTGTCAAATTAAGGAAACGAAGAATAAAAATCAAAGAAACAAATAATAAAAACAGATCACTCCTCAGAAGTAACACATAATAACTAATTAGATGAGTTTAAAGGGGAATTCCCCCACCTTCTCCTCTCATGTACACCACTATTGCTAATCTGGACCGCTGTGTTTCTACAGGATATATGTATATGCTACTTGCCTTAATGTAACCAAACTAAAACTACAGAGCAACAACACTAGCATGAGACTTCAGAGATCCATTGAATAACATCCCAAAAAGTCCTCCCTTTAATTTGCTGAATTCAAGGGGACTCCATTTCCTGGGGGATTCTTTCACGATACTCTTCTTGAGCACCATATTCTCATCCTTGAGCACTTGGACAGCCAAACTGAGTTGCCTAATCACCTCTCTCTTCTCTTCATCTTTCTGCATTAATTGAGCCTTCTGAAACTTGTTCTCTTCTTTCAGTCTCTCTACTTCTTCCCTTAGCTTCATTACTTCATCACAGACCTCACTTGAAACTTCTTCTGTTACTTCTTGATCAAGTCGGGTTCCATCTTCCTTTTGAACATCTTTTATTATTATATCGGTTTCGCATTTGTCTTCCTGCTCAGGATCCCCAACTTCTTCCTCAGTTTCATGTTCAGGGTCATCAACTTCAGATTCAGCATAGTCTTCAGAATCAAAAGTCTCAGAGTAGCTATCATAGGTTTTATCTGTCACATTTGGTGTCTTCTCTGAGAGGTACTTCGTGGAAGAAAATGGGGATCCTAATGCTGTTATGAGACGAGTTCCAGGGTCTGACTTAGCTTGATCATACCGCTCAGCAAGCGAACGGTGGGCTCGGTAGAAATCTTCAACCATGCTAATCAACTCAGGCCGCTTCTTGTAATACATTTCTGCACGTTGAGCAAATGAATCTGCATCTTCCTCTATCAATTTTAGCATCGCCTTTGTCTTCGTGTCCAGCTCTGACATTCATGTAAATCATTTCGTCATTTAAGCAAATGGAGAGAACAAACAAAACATGCTAAAAGAAATTAATTGAGGGAAGTTCAATAAATTGGTAAATTTTACTGTTTCTCCCCGGTAATGTCCTAATGTTCTGGCCTTTCAATCAAGCAGATATCTTTCGGATGTCAAGTATATACAAGAGACGGAGAAAAAGCAAAAGAATTGCTGATTAAAAAAACAAAAGAAAGAAAGAAATAACTGCTGATTAAAATATGAGTCCAGGGTCCTACCCACTTCTTCAGTTCTTACAGAATCTATACTTTGTTCTTTAGAATAATCCTTTTGTAATTAACCTGATTGCAATGGGTCCAATTCATTATTAACTCATAAAAGAGTGCCTTTAGAGGCCTAATGACTTAAGCTGCAAAGGTAATCTCAAAAGTTAGTTGGAGGAAAAAGTGGGAAAAATATCAGTGCTTGGCGAGATTTAAATTTCAGGGTCCTGTACAGTTAGGACCACACACATGTACAAATTAAAGCCTGTCAGATCTTAGACCATAGAAATCAGAATAAACATCCGAACCCAAGTCATGAAGATTAAGATATTATCCCTCAATACAGGAACCATATGTCACTTGTTCCACTACCCGCTTACCATCTCTTTGGACCCCTGAACCACCAGCACATCTTTGGTTCAAGATCAGAGTCCAGTACCAAGCAATTCCAGGTTGTTACCCAGTCCACCAGCTTGTCAGGTCTCTGATTTCAAAAGGTAGAATCATGAATCCTAGAACTAGATTCACTCCTAGGTCCTAGCCTTAATGTTGAAATTTTTAAAGAGATAAGATTATCTATACAATAAGTATACAATTATTGTCCACCCCATACTGCACTCCAGGAGAGAACAGAAAAATGTCTTCCGCATTAAGATAACGACATCTCAGGTTTCCCTTAAGTCTCTACTAGTGTCTCAGGGGGGAAAACAAAAATGCTTTACTGGTGGAACCTTCTGTTACCAAGATAAGGTGAAGTAATCAGAAACATAAGGCCCTACCAATCAGCCATTAGGCAGGCATCAAAACACTTTTTAAAATTACTTAGTATAAATTAACTTCTTGTTCTCAGTCCTTACTCTTTACCATCCAATTCTCATGAACCCATTGCAGTCCCACCACAAAAATCTCTTGTTTTTATCTAAGAAAAAAGTGATCTATCACCTCAAGGTTAACCCACAGTCTTTCTCATTATTTCTTTTTTTTTTTTTTCGGGGGGGGGGGGGGGGGTTAAGCATTTCTCATTATTTCATTTCACTTGCAAGTCAAATCTTTTTACATACCTAAAAGTGACAGTGCTGTAGAAAAAGCAATTCAAGAAACTTTGAAAAAAAAAAAAAAAAAAAAGCACATGCCTCCCCAACGGTCAAGAAACAGGAAACATCAAGAAAGCTTCAATAATAAAGAAACCTTGTATTCGAACTGCTAGCACCCAAAAAAAAAAGGGAAAAAGAAAAAGAAGATATCTGAGATGGTAATATATACATAAAGTAAAAAAGTGAGATGGGTTTTACCAGAAAGAGTGGATTGGAGCCATGGAGAGCGCTTTGAGCCGTTGTGATGACTATCAAACCACCACCAACGTGAAGTTTCCATCTTGTTCATCATTTGCACCATCTCCCTCTTGTCTATCTTCTTTACCTTAATTGACAGAATTTTGAAAACCAAACGTCAAAACTCAAAAAGCTGAAACCAACGCCTACACCCTTAAGTGTCAGATTTTACAGTAAAGAACGACAAAAATGATATAATGGCAAGAACCAGAACTACCCCTCCTTATTTATGCCTGCAAAGGCGAGAAAACAGGGAAACGTTTATGAAAGATAAGACAGAAAAGGCTAATATAGTCAATTTAGACATAAAAACAATTGGCGGAAATTTCAACATTCAAACCTGCCAAATACAATAAAAAAAAAAAAGTTACAAAACACAGAAGAAACTAATTATTACTGCCATATATATCAGAGAAAAATTAAGAGAAAAATATTTATATGGAAAGAGATCTTCTGCTTCAATCTAGTGGCCCACTGGCCCCTTGAAGATTTCTGATTACAATAAGTAATGAGGAATCAAATGCCCTGAAGACAAAGTCTTATTCCCTCCAATAAAACACAATCACTTCACTGAAAACTCCCATTACTGGACAGAGTTTCAACATCCGAGTTTATAAAACCAGGAAATATTAAAAAAAAAAAAAAAGGAACTCTTGTACACAATTAAACCTGCTACACTGTAAAGCACGTTGCGAAGAAGAGATGTATAATAAGAATAAAAATGTAGAGAAGAAAAGGAAAGACAAAACAAGGTTACCCAGAAAAGAGTTGGTTTTCAAGTTGAGAAATGAGAAGGAGCGTTCCTCCCTAGTCTCTCTCTTTTTCCACTCTCAGACCTCAGCCTCTTAATTGAGAGATGAAGTGACAGACATTGTTTTAAATACAGTTTCCTCCGATTTCTAATTCCATTTTGTCTTCTTTTATTGCTAGGATTGCGGTCTGTCCAATCACCTTTCACCACGTGTAAGACGCCGAATATTTCGCATTCTTCAATGCCGTGAAAACAAAAAATCCTTTTAATTCCATTAATTAATTCGACTTTCGCTTTTACCAAACTACCCTCTATTTACATTTGGTCAGGCAATTTTTCTTGTTTTTTCTTTATACAACAACTATTATTATTATTATTAAATATTGAGTATACTTGATGGAATTATTAGTACTATAATAACTGAATTAATAAAATCTTAAGGTTTACCTAGAACAATGGAAATATGACGTATGATTAGGCTATGAAAAAGTGCTTTGGCTTTGTTATTTTCCCATATGAAAGGAAGGCATTGGTGGATGAAACAACCGAGGTTTTATATCATGGCTGTAAGGTTAACGGTTACTACTTTTATTTTTTATCTTTCGGCTGGTGGATCTTACTAAAAATTCTAAACCCCTATCTTGTGGAATTCTACGGTGAACGACGTGCATTGGGCAAGTCTATTTAGGTGGTTGGGTTTCAGGGTTTTATCCCCTATAATAATTTGGCTGTAATTCAGACATTTGTGTCGGAATTGAATTGGATTGACATGTTCCCAGCGGACAACATGCAGAGCGTAGCTGGGCTTATAAATATAGATCGATTTTCTTTTTTTTTTTCTTACCAAAAAAAAAAGATAGATTTTCGGTAACGGTCCAAAATGTCAGACTGACGTCAGAACCTTCCAATTCTGATTCCCAACTGCAGCCAGAAATGGTGACAACTAGTCTCTGGCATGAATTTAAAAAAATAACTTAATGCCATACTGAAGACAAATTCAATGATGGGTTTTGACAGTCGCGGCCAGTCGATGATACAAAAAACAAATGTCTACATCTGGAACTTAATGGAGCAGATTGCATCGAAAACCCGTTAGAAAATATCTGAACCTTCTGCTATTTCTTTCTCTTCCAAAAAAAAAAATGGAAAAAGAAATTCCTCTATAAAAAAAATCCATATAATACTTGGTGGCGAAACCATTGTCAAAAGGGTTTTAAAAGTACATGCAGAATATTGAATATTTCACATTTTTCTGCTCCCTGACGGGGTAGAATAAGAATGTTATTGTCATTTGAGAGGTTGACCTCAGATAAATGCCTGCAAATGATTTTTCTTGACGTACTCATCCACTCCTCAGGAGACTTTATGACTCTCTGGCTTTATATGACATTCCTTGTATGTTTTGTGGTGGAATATTATAAAGCTAACCCACCTGATTCTGAATTGAGGAAGAGGGTACAAATGTACCATCATCTCTCTCGTCATGTTTTCCACCATGCAATAACTCTAATCAGTATTATTTACACAAGGCATGTTATCCACCATGCAATAACTCTAATCAGTAATACATATAAATATGCATAAGGCCGATCCTTAAATCTCCCTATCTCTTTTTTTTTCAAATTCAAAATTCAGTGTATGGTATTTGTAATCAGTGAAGAAGTGGTTCTGTTGGTGAGCCAGGAACATATGGCGCAAAACCTCTCCCACCAAACACCGGGCGCATGACACTGTCATCAAACTTCCGCCAGTAGTAGTGGACTGTATGAGCCGGGGTTGTCAGGAGCATGCGTAAGCTGGTTGGACGGGGAATGCTGTCACCACCCATTTCAGAATCTGCAGTTTGCCCGTTGGCAATAAGTGGAAGATCTGTCACCGGCTTAGAAGGAAAAGAATCAAAAGATTCAGAGGAGACGGGGCTGCTAAGATGCTTGCTTGGCAGCAGCAGCCTTATTAGAGGCTTAGTCATTAATCCGAACACCTGAAATGAAGAAAATCAAACTTCAAAGAAATGAACGTTACAAGCTAAATTTGATGCATGCAACATTATTGTAGAGCATTCTTCCAAAGATTTGGTAGCAAACACAGCAAATAGGATGGGGTAATTGTAGCTTTTGAGAGAAGCAGTAGCCCACAGTTATTCAGCAGCTAAAAAAATTGAACGCTATACAAAAATCCCCGAAAACAGTTGTAAGATATCTGATCTATGCATGCTAGTAAAAGCATGGTTAGTGACTTAATGCCAAGGAAATAAAATGGCCATTAAGGAAAACATTTTACAAGGAATCACAACCAAATGTGACATCCAATTTCCATACTACCAAAACTTGAGAGAGACGTACAGGTGGAGAGAAACCCATGCATTAGCCCAAACCAATCAAGATAAAGTTTTTATTAACAAAATTATGCAGAGTACATCTCATCATTATTACTAAGAAACAGTCCCAACTTAAAGATAAGTCCTTACCACAGTGCTAAAAAGAACAACAGTGATGGTGCTGGTTATCATAATGGCATTTCCACGCAATTGAGTTTGCCCCGATCTGGTAAACTGCATATACATCGAAAAAAAAATTTCAACTTAGGTGGCAAGAACCAAAGTGAAAGAAACACAAGAAAACAAATCAGGTGGCTATGCTCCAATTATTTGATTCCTTGCATTCAAATAGAAAAGGATAGTACCCTTTACACACAAAAAAATATGTCAGTATAACATGCCAAAGCAAATGCACCTGCCAATGACTGAAGTAAATCCATGCTGGTTGCCCAACAATTCACAATTTTTTGGTAGAGATTTCTCAATTTACAGAAAAGCATGCTGCATCATTCCTCTTATTATACATCATTGTTTGATCAGGCACTCAGATTCAAAACTTTAACCATATTTTGCCCAACACTGCAGAACATTATCTCCTCTCACGAGGCAAGCAATTCAGAAAGCCAGCCAATTCATTCTAAGAAAATAAAAATTATGTCTTGCTACTATTATCTTATATTGAGGTCAAAGACACCCCTTTCAAATTATTTATGTTCACCAATTTTTGGACAATAAATCCATCAAAATGCAGAGGTTTTGTAGTCATGCATCCTATTACCTAATTTACCTGACTATAAGCAAGTGCCACGGACACAGAACCTCGCATGAGCCCTGCCCACCATATTATAACCTGTTTGACTTGAAAATGTCAGTGCATCAAGTATGTCAAAGGGAAGGAAAACTCAAAACATGACTCTAAACACCAACCTGTTGCTTCAATGTAAATTTGTCACTCTGAGACCTTTTAATTAAATTGGACAAAAAGGATAGAGGGAACACAGAAGCTGCCCTTTCAACTAGAACTAAGGCAAGCAGTATTGAGCTCACCCCAGCAGATGTTCCAGGACTACAAAAACACACGATATATGCAGATGAATGAACAATTGCTACTAAGAGACATGTTGCTTTGATATGCAAATTACAAACTGATACCATCTAAAGAAAAGCAAGATGCCAAAATGATAACTGATATGCATACTATATTGTACTATCTCCATCACTTGACATGATATAATGGACTTCTTGAAATAGTTAAAGACAAGGGTACAAAGAGTAAATAGGTCAAAATTATATATGCAACAGGGTAAGACTTGACAAGACAAGATCAAATGCAAATGACCTTTGGCCAAAAATATAGGCAGTACCTTTTGCTAACAACTTTCCACTTCTCAATATCCAAAGCATCCATACCAACATAGAGGAAGATGAAAATCTCTGATATGAAAGATAATGTTGCAAAAGCGTGCCTGCAATAATCAATAATCAGCACAATAGTGTCAAAACATGTCTATTTGGGTTTGACAGGGAGTAACTAAAGAGGGGAAAAAAAATAACTTTCAAACATTTGGGAACTAAATTCCAAATTAACATACTTGGTGGTGACTCTAGAACCTTCAGTCACATTATGCCAGGTGTAGTGTGACATAACAATCCCACAAAAGAACACTGTAAGAATGCTGCTCAAATTGAACAACTGAAAAACAGAATACAATTGCCAACACTGTTATCAAAGAAAATAGGGATATGACATGCAACGTACAAACAGTACCTGGAATATTACAAAGCTAGATCCTTAGGCACTGAGTTATTAAAGAGAATACTTACTTCAGCCATCATATATGAGAGGTAAGCCATGAGAATCATGAGAGCAACTTCACGATCGGTAGAGTGCCTGAAAGTTGGTGGAATATTAGCTACTTAGTTTAAAATGAAAGGAAATGTTATTTGTATAGAGCTATAGGATTCTCATGTCAGGCAGAAAGATAAGATATCAACAGCGAAAAGAGAGAGAGAACAACAGATTCTGAGGAGAATCCTAAGAGGTAGCATTGTAGTAAGAATTCTTAGTTTTTGAGCCATCAGAGCTCTGACAAACATCGTACTAAAACAAGTATAACCTAAATTTATCATCATAAGTTAATCCATGACAAACAATCTATTATGTGAAAATTTAGGTTGGTGATAATCACTTTGTTAATCAGATTTCAATTGACAATTGCTGATATAAATAAATTCGCAAACATTTGACAAGCAAAAATATTAGACCTTGTTAAAGCTCTGAACAGAAAATGCCTACCAACATAGTTGTGGAACTCCAATCCATGCATTGAAACACTCTAACATAGAGCTGTAATGCTTCTGACTAAAAGTTGCAAGCATTTTCATTTTTAACACAATTAAGGGATGAACGTATATATAAACAGGGATAATAAAGTAACTTTTTTTTGCATCATAAAAGATGAGACAACAAGAAAAGGTAATCATTTGCCCTTAACACACCTGCCAATGTACAATTTCTTTATGATGTATGCACTTATTAATCCAACCTGCATGTGAAATTGATGTTATGTTAGATGAATATGTAAAATAAATGCATGTTTCTAATCTCAGATAGACAAAACCCACCGAAAAGGGAAAGACTCAATATGCAAAGTTATTAATATTTGAAAGAAAATGAAAGATACCACACAGCAGGTTTAATGACGCAACAAAAATTGCAATAAGGCAATAGCATATTCATTTTATCGTCAAAGTACAAGTTTTCTTTGAGAAAAACAAAGGAGAAGCTTAAAGCCAACAGCTAATTCATTGATAATCAAAAGATTAAGAGCTCATTGTGATGGTAATTGGCACTATTTACATAAGTAAACCCTAATTATGTATAATCACATGTTAACAATGATTAGAAGAAAAAAATCTTATCTTCTAGCAAGTCTAGATTGTATTGAACGCAGACTTAATAATCTCTTAAGTCTTATTTTGGAAAGACTAAAAGTTTAAACTAGAAATCTCCCTGTCACAATGGCTTTGAATCCCTGGCAATAAATGGAATATAAAGATGTTCACTGCACTTTTTGTTTCAGTTAACTGACTGGTCATATAGGTCTGATACAACTTTTAGCTAAGGTGAAGATATAATGTGTAAATATTAGATAGATGATCTAAGAAGATTATTCATAATACAACATTGAACTTAAAGTATGGATTTTGCAAACAAAGAATAGAAGGTCAAATGATGAAAATAATTTTGCAACCATAAAAAAAAAAAAAATCGGCAGATGCACGCATGAAAAGATACAAAAATTAGAAAGAAAGGTCTCACCCCTACTCCTAGCAATGTGCTTGTAATAAAAAAGTATAAGAAGCTCCCAATGAATTCCATAAAAATGCTTGAGGTGATGTGAGAGAGGTCAAATTTCTGAATTGCATTAAAAAGAACAATCGATGTGGCATCATTTACCACACCTTCGCCAAAGACTATACTGTACAAAAGAGGTGTCTCATCCTGATTAAGCACCTGTACAGAATACAAGATTTATAATACAATGTTTGTTCAACTATTCTTTTCACTTTCACAAACCAAATAAATATTTATACCTGCAAAGTGCAAACAGAATCTGTGGCTGAAAAGATTGCTCCAAGTGCTAAAAGAAGAAACTAACGTTAAAAGCCAAAAATAACAACTGTCATGCCTCTAATAAATGTATAGTAACTCATTATGAAAAGTAATATAAGCCCTGGTTCTATGAAAAGCATATGTGTCTTTGTGTTATGGGTGTTTTTGTGCGTGTGTGTATCCATGTATTTTGAATAAACTATCTCACCTCAAATGAGACGAAAAAGAAAATGCAGCATACCAATAATGATTCAAAAGAAAAGAAGTTGAGAATCATTTGTTCCTGGTCTTCATAATGCAAGCTACTTCATAATGCAAAGATGAACAATCTGACCCAAACTTTAAACGGTATTTTCCTATGTGCAACTGCCTATCAGTTGAAAGTAAGCTTTAAACTAAGAAACATCAGCAAACTACTAATTAAAGACACAGACATTACCAAGATAATCTCCAATGTCCAGGAAACCAATATTCAATTTCTTAAATAACTGCACGGTACCTGAGATGAGATAATTGTAAAAGTTACAACACAATTAGCCTCAAACACACTCTTTCCTGGTACTAATCAGCGAAAAGATAAATTAACTACCAAAAGGTATTACAATCCAAAGAAACTTGCAATTATTAGTCAATCTTTGTTTTGAACTATTCCTCAGTTCCAACAAAAAGTTTATCATGCTATGCTTATTATAACTTAAACAAGCAATTAAATTTATAGATGCAGTGTAAAAAAAACTTAGTTGATTTAATTGAAGATTATCCTATGAACACCTTGAGAGCATCAAACATGTTATATTCCTTGGGAAATCCTGACAATACAAGTGCAATACAAGAAAATCCTAGGAATATTTATAAAGATGCCAGAGAAGTTCTAATCCTCAATTCACTTGGAGGATTGTTATACTTGTATGCTTTCAGGGTGATCTGCATGAAGAACAAACTTCTAAGTTTTTCATAACCAACAAATCTTTAAGATAATCTTTGTTTTTCTAAAAAAAATTATAGCCATCAAATTTTAAGGTTTCATGCTACTTTTTAAGTTGTAGTAGGTTAAATTATCTTTAGATAAATTGTCTTTGTATAGTCCAAAATTTTGGAGACTAAAAAATCTAGGTTAAACAGAATGTTATACAATAGTAAAGGGATTTTCTTAAACACTAAGAAATGTTAAAATGTTTGGATATACCTACGGATATGATGACAAACGATATCAAAGTACCAACAGCACCAAACAAAATAATCATCATGAAGTTACGGAAAAATTGCTTCTTTTTGACCTGGAATCTGGTGGATTAAAACAGATCAGATTATCAAACACAGCATTCCAACAATAAAAAGATAAAAAGGGCAGGAATACTTTCAATTTTCAAGAAACAATGTTGCAAATAAAAGTATAAACAAGCCAGACAGTTAGTTTCCACAATCCATAAGATTTTCTAACCTCAAAAAAAGTGAATGAGATGCATGATGCATCATATTCAAATGATATTTGCAATAGCAACAATCAAAATATTGAGGGCAACAAAACCAAAGACTTCATAGTTTGGCATAAGTCAGACTTACCCAGCATTGAATATGATAGGAGGAAGAAGATATATAAAGAAAAGCTCCTCATTAAATACTAGAATGTGTGATCTCTTTCCTTCAGTGGTAAACAGAATAATAATTCCGGTACAAAAACCCTGCAATCACCCCAAAAATCGTCAAAAAAAAAATTTTCCCACTACAAAACAACAACCAAATCAAAGACCAACCCAAATCTAAGATAACAACAAGGTTAATTATTTAGGGAGTGATTTGAACAACTCACAATGGCAAGTGCAGTTATTGACTCATTAAACCATCGGTTTTTCTCCAGAAGGTGACCAATCACAATGCAGGAGCAGAGGAGTGCCACAAATAGAGTAATAGAATCCACCGGAGCTTGGTCAGGCTCTAATGTCATCACTGAATGCTTGCGAAGAACAGAGCCCTCAAATCAAATACCCCAAAGTAGCTGCCACAATCTAAATATTTCCACTGTTGGAAACACAAAGATTCAACTCAGTTCTCTAGTTATTGAAATTGATCATATCTCATAGAAATAATAAATTCAAATACAAAAACAACTCTTCGTTAAAAAATAAAGATAATAATAACAAACATTGATAATCTTTAGGTGCTATCAAATCATTAGCATAAAATTGGCCGTTAAACCAAAGAAACGGTCGGATTTTTCTGTTTTCTTGCGTACAATTTTAAACAATGGGAATTGAAAAAAAAAAAAAAAGTCGACTGAAGTCAATGAAACTGTTTGACCTAAAACGGAGATCGTTTTTACAGTACAACAAGAGAAAACTAAATAACATTAAAATTTTTAAAATATTCTTTTTTTTCTTTTCAACTGCTTTCTCGAAAACCAAACAAGAGAAATAATTAGTAAGATTACTCACCGAGTAAAATCTAAAACAACAATTTGATTTATCAAACGCAAATAAATCGACTTTCTATACGCTACTTTCTCATTGAAATTTATTCATTCATTAAAAAAGAGAGAGATTAAGGAAACTTAACGACCAAGTATCCCTTCACTTCACTTCCACCAGCATCCAAACAAACAAAAGAAAAGGAAAACAAGAAACAATAAAGTAAATTACCACGAAATTACTCTGCAACTTCGGAGGAAAGCTAGAAATTAAAGAAAAAGAATAAGTGGAGAGGGGGAATGCGGAAATAGGGCTTTTAAAGAAAAAGAAGCAAAGAATAAGTGGGCAAACCACCCCTGGAGAGAATCCGAATATAAACATTGCAACGACTACGAAAGGAGGGAATGTGGATGGAATTTTATAGTGTAGTTGCGGACACGTGAGGCGGTGGAGTTACGTTGATTTCTAGTACGATTTCGAATCTGACTGTGGAATTCTGAAGAATATGAGTTTTGATGTGGGACCCTACAGCGCCAACTATTGTCCCTCGGTAAAGAATATCTATTTAAAAAAAAAAAAAAAAAGTCGTTATAGGCTTGAAGTTGATTGTTGATGTTAAAATTACTAATATAGCCTTGCACACAAATAAAATTACTAAAACCATTTATCCTCGGAGACCGACAAATGTCAATTTGTCATTGGATTAGTAATATTTGCTTCATCCCAACTTTGCTGGCTCTTTTGCACTTTTTTTTTTTCCTGTTTTGTTTTTAGTTGGAAAGTAATTATGAAAATAGTAAGCATTACATTTATGCCTTTTATTTCTAAAAATAAATATTAGCTATAATTAGGGGAAAGTTGTTTTACTTGTGAATGTGTATGCTAATATATTTGGCACCTACGTTACAACAAATGCAATCTAATTCACAGTAAAAATAATTAAATTTAACGTCACAAGTTATTAAACATCATTTTAAAATAATTTAATTAATTTGATCATTTAATATTATAATTTTTTATTAATTGCAATTGTATGTGACATGAGACAATCTATTATAATTTTACCTTCCATAAGAATAAGATCATAAAATAAAAATAATTTATAATTTTATAAATTATAAATTTAAAATAAAATTATTAAATTTTTTATTTTAATAATCAATTTTTAATATTTTAAATATAAAAAATATACATAAATAATTGCAAAACTAGAGCTTGACACCAGCGAGACAAAGATAACGTGAGAGCAAATTAATGAGGTTGGCACATCATATATATATATATATATTATATTATTATTACAACATATATAATTATTAAAAAGTAATTATTGATATGGACATTTACGTGAATAATTTTTTTTTAACACGTAAGATAATTCATAAAACTTCTCATTATAATGACATACATATATTTATTAATTTTAAATTATTTAAAAATATATATTTTAAATTTTATTAAATTATCTAAAATTTTAAATTTTAATAAAAAATTAATTTAAATTTTAATGAAATTATTTTTATCCCATCATTTTGTCTTAATTTAAAATCAAATTTAAAGTAAATTATGTTTTTTAATTTATTTACAATTAACATGAATATTTAAATTTATTACAACTTTTAAAAATATTTAATGTCTTTAATATTTTTTATAAATACTTATTATATTATATTCGACTTTTAAATATATTTCATACAAAAAATATAAATAAAATATAAATAAATAAATACATGTCCTAACAAAGTCATATAAACTTTGACAAGAAATGAAGACTAGAGATTACTTTCTATATTACAAAATGAGAATTATTTGTCTAACAATTAGTGTATCATATCAACTTAGTCAAAAGGCACATGCATAATTTCCAAAATTAAAAAAATAAAATAAAGTTAGATGTACCAATAACACTTTCACATTTACAACATCTCTTAATATTTTATGTATAGCTAAATATAATTGATATATAATTTTTACACTATTTAGTCATACGATTGCAAGAATATTTTATAATATAAATTTATGATATATTTAAAAAATTAATTATTAGGAATCCATTTAGATTATAAACTTTGTCAAACCTTTATAATAAAAATGTTAGCAGTATAAAATTTTTAAAATATCTATTGTGAATAGAGTTAAGATATAAAATATCAAAAAAATTAATAAATAAAAGTATAAAATACTAAAATTTAAATATTATTATATGAATAAATATTATTTATAAATAAATTTATTATTTAAATATGTTTATGGATTAAAATTTATCAAGATTTAAATGAAAATTAATTTAAATATAAGATAATTAGATAGATAAAATAATTATTTAAATATATTTATGAGTTAAATAAAATTATATAACTTGATTATTTATCGTATTTTCATTCAACTTATTTTTCAAACAATATTTCATATTTTCACGGACTTTAACATTACTTTTTTATTACTCTTCAATTTAAGGTAGATTTGTTTTTTATTTTCTTTTTATTTATATTTTATATATATTTTAAACATGTTAAAACTTTAATAATATTAATTTATATTTTTATTTAAATTTAAATAAAATAAAAATAAATTGTACTTCACACTAATAACAAACTAATTATTTCTTATATTAAGGTTTCCATTTACTATTGAGGTTTAAAAGTGCTCTTGATTAAAAGTTTTGTTTTTATGACAACCTCAATGTTAGTTGGAGTGAAATTTTTGAGTTTTATCATAAAAAGTACGATTTTGCAAACCTAACGCAAAAAAATTGTTTGTGGCTGAAAAATACTTTTAGAGGGGATTTTTCTTATCCCCTATAACTAAATTTGTATTAATTTATATATATATTTTTACATTTTAATACATCAATGGCACTTTTCACAATAATATTATAATTAAATTTTTTAAACTATATTTTCCTAATCATATTTTTAAATGTACTTTTTTAAATTATAATTTTTCAAACGCAACAAAAAATTTAAAATTAAATCTTAATATAACATGTAAGTCCCAAACTATAACTTTTAACCAATCACAATCATACTTACATTTGATGTATGAAGAAATTTTATCAACTTTAAACATTTTTCATAGAGATATTTGAATTCAAATTATACTGTTAAATTATTCAGGTACTATTTTTGAAGAAATTTAAACACATGCTTTGATGTGATGAGTCAAATTTTGAGTTTTTTTTTTCTTTTAAGATTTCAATAAAATAATTTATTTTTAATATAATATCATTAAATTTTTTAAACTATGTTAAAATATTATTATATGTCTCACTACTTTTTATATGAATTTATTAGTAATTTTTTAAAATATATCCAATGATTAATGCGTCAACTCTCTAATCCCTCTCTAACTCTTGGCCAAAAAAAAAAAAAAAAAAAACTCTCTAATTCCGCCGATAAGTTTTAAGGATGATAAATGTGATAATTTTTCTTAAATAAAAGTCATTATGGAAACTTGATTTTAATATTCTAGAAGCTCGGATTGGACTTACATAAAGTTAAACCCTGATCCAAAACTAAGGCGGGCTAGCCCATTAGACTCCTCCAATCTCACTCTCTCGCAGTTGACTTAATTATACACGTATACTAAAATAGCATTCAATCTTTTTTATCACATATTTTCCAATGAGTTTGTTTTTTTTACATGAAGTTAGTAAAATATTTTAATTTAATAAAAAGGTTACCATATATTTAAAAAAAAAACTTATATTACATTTTAAAAAATATGTGTTATTTTGTTAATGTTTTTTATTGTTTGTAAATTTTAAAATTTTTATTGGTTTTAATTTTTAATTTTTAATGCACTAATTTTCATTTTTTTTTTATCATAGAAAGTAAACAACGTGGCAAAATGTAATTACTCCAATGACAAATTCACATTTGGCTGTCACCCAAAATAAACGTGATTAATGAAAAAGATAATGAAACTATATACATTTTGTTCATAATGTGAAGTATGCTCTATGATCATGCCATATAAACAATACCTTTTTTTTTTAATTTCAATTTATTAATTTTTAACTCTTTTTTACCAAATATATTACATGAATAATTGTCATTAACTCAGGCATCCTCAAATAAACATTTTTAGACTCTTTAAGTTTCTTTATGTATCCTTACCAATTACTATATTAAAAGTTTTTTTTTTTTTTTATGTTGTCCAAATTAAATGAAATATTATTTTTTCACTACTATGTTTTTACAATAGGATAAAAACCATATTATATCTTGTTTGGTATTTATTTATTTGTTTATTTGAGATGACAATTTTATTTATTTGTTTTGAAGGATGATGACTCAATTTAGTATTGAAAATATACATTTTTTAAATAAAAATAGAAAGATTATTTTATTTATAAAAAAGATCAAAATTTGAGATAAATAAAAAAGTTATAAATTTTAAATTTGTCAAATATTAATTATTAAAAATTAGTTAAATCTCAAATTTAATAACAAACAAAATCATCATATCTAACTTTTAATCATGTATATATTAATATTTTATGGTCATATTTAATGCATATGATAATTGATAAAATAAAATAATAATTGTCTTATATTATGTTTGTTTTTATTTTAAAAAATTGATGAAATTACAAAGAGGATTAATCATTTTATTGTTATAGAATGATTTAATCATCTAAAAATAAAAAAATATTTTTAATTCATAGGATTAGACTTATACGTCTTATTATAATTTTAAAATTTATATAAATAATTTAAATTATATAAACTTTAAGAAATGATAATTTTGATAAAATTTTATTCTATCATAACATTTACATAAATCAAATACAAAATAAAATGATATTATATTATTTAATTATATTTATAATATTATTTTATTTTTTTATTATAATTTTATATACCAAACACATCATATACGAATATTATTCATAATTTTATTTTATTTTATATATTTTTTAAATATTATATGTATTAAGTACATTATCAATTTTAATGATGGGCATATTGCTATCAATTGCCTAATATTTTTAATTTATTATGTAATTAATGCTAATTAATTAATATTATTAAATCATTAAATTCCTCAAAATGCAAAACATATTAGAAAATTCTTAAAAAGATGTACCGACGGTGAAACCAAAGAATACAGACAATGTAAACGGAAGACCTTTTTTTTTTTTTTTTTTTAACTAAAAAAGGGTGGAAAGTGAAGTAAAACCAAAGACCAAACCAAAACCGGAATCGGGCGGCCATGGGCTTTGGAATTAGCGTAGGACAAAGGGCAGTATTGGATAAGGAGCAGATGGGACCCATTGTCCATTGAAATTCTGGTCTAGGTGCCTTGACTCAAGCTCCCCGCATAAACCGCACCAAAAGCAACCTAAACAACAACGCCAAAAGCCCTAACTTTCTGCCTCTCCTGCATCTGCTGGCTGCAGACAGCACTTTCTCTCCGTCCAAAGACCTCAAGATTTCATTGAACCCGAAAACTGGGTCGACCATCTGACCCGAAAATCCGATCCATGTTGGCCCGGGATGTTCTTGCATGTTCTTTGATGTTTTTAAGGTTTGATAAATTGTCTCAATTTATATTATGTTTTCTGGTCGTTTTATGGGTCTTGGTTTCTTAGGATAAGGGGAGAGATCTGCAGTGGTTTGTCTGAATATTGTTTCTTGTAAGTTCGTTGTTTTTTTTTTTTTTATTGCTTGCTTTTGTTCGGTCACTAGATTTATTGGGTGAAAGGTAAGTTTTTGTAGTATGGGCAAAATTGTAAGATTTTGATGCTTGGTGTTACTGTCTATTTCTAGGTGTGAGTGATGGTAATCTACATTGTTTTGTAGGGGAACTGGTGATTGTGGGGTGCTGACTCACTTCGATTAGTGGAATATTTTTCCATCTTATTGGACTTCTGGTTCTCGATCATGTTGTTTAGTGCTTATTAGCTTATTTGTGTATGAAGTTTGAGAGGTTTTGGAACATGGGTTGATTATACTCTTGTATAATACAACTGCATAATTCAAATCATTAGTGTTTATTATGGTGTATGATAGCAGCGATCATTTTATGGTGTTTGGTGTAGAGAATTGGAGGAAAATTGGATGTTTTTAAGTACATTGTTGAGTTATTAGAAATTTTAGAGGTGAAGTGCTTTGTTAAGCTATCATTGGATTCTAGACGATTAGGACTGAGGCATCAATGTCGATTAAGAGTATTATCCAGGACATGAAGGGGGAGTTGGGGAGTATCTCCCGAAAAGGGTTTGATGTTAAGTTTGGGTATGGCATGAGATCGAGGTCACACAGGGTAGTTCAGGATAGTTCAGTTCCAGTTGATGCGTTCAAGCAGAGTTGTTGGGCAAACATGCCTCCTGAGCTTTTGAGGGATGTGTTGATAAGAATAGAAGCATCGGAGAGTAGTTGGCCTCCACGAAAGAATGTGGTTGCTTGTGCTGGTGTATGTAGGAATTGGAGAGAGATTATGAAGGAAATTGTGAAAACCCCCGAAATTTCTGGCAAGTTGACATATCCAATCTCATTGAAGCAGGTAATAGATGTCAGTCTGTACTTTTTTCTTCCTCAATCTGATTTACTATTTGATTCAATTGCTTTCATTTGGTTATGTATTCATCTTAAAGCAATTCTGTTATACTCTGGCTTTGAATCTCTAGTTCTTAGTCTTCTTTTTTCTTTTTCAAGTTTGATTGATCATTGAAGCAAGAATATTTAGTAGCATTTTCAAAAATAGTAGCAATACCATGTGCCTGTTGTATTCTCTTATTTGTGTGGTGATTTCATAAGTAATGGTTGAACAGTGCTGATAAATGTGAAAAATGATGGGCTGTATTGTCCTTTCTGCTGGTTTAGCTGAGAACCGTATTGCATTCTAGGATTGCCTTGGCCCTTGCAATACTCTTTAGGAAGTTTAGGAATCTGAAGTTAGAAATATGTTGGGTACTGTACCAGTATCCTGCTGCATCACAAAAAATTTTCTTGTTAAGTTATTGCATCATAAAATTTTAACTTTAGTGATCAACTGCGAACATGAAATTCTATTTCATAATCTCCTAATATTCCAACTATTTGTGCTCCTGAGATGAATTGTGAACTTGAGAGTTTTTTGGCAGTATAATTGCTTAAAAGGTATCTGTTTAAATTAATGTGGAATAGACTATAAGCTCTCTGTTTGTACTTGGAAGTTGAAACAATTTTCTTTATTCATCAATTTCTGTGAATAAGTAACTGAAAAGTTAGGGCACATGTTCACAGACTTTGGTTGTTTTGTTTTTGCAGCCTGGGCCAAGGGACTCCCTCCTTCAATGCTATATAAAACGGAATCGTAGCAACCAGACATATTATCTTTACCTTGGCTTGAATCATGGTGAGCTTCTTTTTATTGATTATGTTTTTTTGTTGGGTGTGATGGGAGGGGTTGGTATTGTGAGCTTTACCATCACGTATTGCTTGGTGCTGGTGTCTGCTGACAGGATTTTGCTTATATTTATTGATTGAATTAAAAATGTTGATGGATATATGATGTAGTTAGATTCATAGAAAGTTAGTGCCTTAACTATTTGATTATTTTGATGAGCACCTTGCTTCTCTCTGGGTGTCTTTCCTTAGATGTATATGTGAAATGTTTTGCTTTGTGTATTTTCTTGGCAGCTTCAAACGATGATGGAAAGTTTCTTCTTGCTGCAAGGAAGTGCCGCCGTCCTACCTGCACAGATTACATCATATCATTAAATGGTGATGATGTGTCAAAAGGAAGCAGTACCTACATTGGAAAATTGAGGTATTGTCAGCTGGATAATGATTTTGCTGATACATTACTCATTTTGGAAAACTAAACTTACCTTGATTAGCTTTAACAGATCAAACTTTTTGGGGACCAAATTCACAATTTATGATGCACAGCCTCCAAATGCTGGAGCCAAAGTAACTAAAAGTCGCTCCACCAGGCTAATTAACGTGAAACAAGTCTCTCCTCGTGTCCCAGCTGGAAACTATCCTGTAGCCCACATCTCATATGAGTTGAATGTCCTGGGTTCTAGGTAATTTGTATAGTGAAAGTCTCTCTCTCTCTCTCTCTCTCTCTCTCTCTCTCTCTCTTTCTGTATCTGGGGGTGGTCATCAGTTGTTTTTGTATGCTCATTTAACTTAATGTATTCTGGAAAATAGAGGTCCAAGGAGAATGCAATGCGTCATGGACGCAATCCCAGCCTCTTCTATTGAGCCTGGAGGTGTTGCTCCAACTCAGACTGAGTTCCTACACAATAATCTGGATACCTTCCCATCACTGCCATTCTTTAGATCAAAATCAACCCGCTTAGAGAGTTTCCTGTCTGGACCTTTGTCTGGCCAGAAAGATGGAATGCTGGTGTTGAGGAATAAGGCACCCAGGTGGCATGAACAACTCCAGTGCTGGTGTCTGAACTTCAATGGACGGGTGACAGTTGCTTCAGTCAAAAATTTTCAGCTGGTTGCTTCTCCAGAGAATGGAGTTGCTGGGCAGGAGCATGAGAATGTCATTCTCCAGTTCGGAAAAGTGGGAAAGGATGTATTTACCATGGATTATCAGTATCCAATCTCAGCTTTTCAGGCATTTGCTATATGCCTTAGTAGCTTTGACACCAAGATTGCTTGTGAGTGATTTGCAATCAGGTATGAGTCTAACATAACTCTTGGACTTCTGACAAATTAGTCTCAATATAAGCATAATTTTTGTCAATGCCTTTTTAATTTTTCTGGATAGAGACAAATAGTTAAGCCCATTGTGCTTTCTGTTGGTATACCAAATTTCAACTTTTCTATATCTGTTTAGTTATTTGTTAGTATAATCAATCTTTTAGGGTTTCCTACATTTGCTTATGGATCTTAAGTGGTTGAAGCTCCTGCTTTTGGACTGCAGGTATTGCCAGATGCAAAATAGTTGGTTTGCAGAGTAATAGTCATGCTATGGACTCGGAATGTTCTGCTACAAAGTTTCTATGTACTTTAATGCTTTCTGGTTTCCATATGAGCAGTTTGGGGTATAAATTTTATTTTAGTTCTTTGCTGTACATATAACTGTTTGTATTATGAGCGAGACATGATCGCTACGTTTGTCGCGTGCTTTGCTAACATAGTTGTCTCTTTGATCATTGAGCGAGAAGAAACTAGAAAATCTGTCTAATGTCTTCTTGAATTTGCTAATGGGGTTTCCCTGTTGGAGACTTTTGTCCATTTTAGATGTCCGCTTCCTCATTTTTCAAATTGTGCCTGTTAAATGTTAGTCAGAAATTCATTTTACTAACAGTTTGGCATAATTGTTGATATTTACTGTTCAAGTTCTTGGTTAATCTTTTGCCTGTCCTCAAGCTTGGGACTTGTTTTTATGTTTGGTACTGAGGTGGATAAAATGAAAAACGAAGTTCATTCTTTGGTACAACACAAATTCCGATAACAGAACTTGAAAAACGCAGAGCAAAGTTAGGATTAAGTTTCCCAAGTGAAATGAGCAACAGCAAGCCAATTAATCAGATTATAGCATTTATTAATTCTGATACCAGTGTGCATGGTAATAGATAAGAAGAGAATTGGAAACAACAAAACAAAGTGGACAGCAATTAAGAAACTGTAGAACTGTATTGTAAGGTTTAAGGAAAGACACAACAGAACGGGAGCAGCAGCCAGCAGATGACTGCTGTTCAACAAACACAAAAGATTAGAATGGGGGAGGGCCATAGCCACGGGGTCCACCAAAGCAGTCCTGTAGTAGCCAACAACAGCACAGGCAGTAGAAGCTGCAATCAAAAACAATTTAAGGTGGGGAAAAGAAAATCAAAGCGCAGTTAACTAGACATGGGAGGAGAATTCGGAAAGATTGATCGCTTACCAAGAAGAAATCATATTGCACAAGCCATTAGCAAAGCCACCAAAGAAACCACCAGGCCCAAAACCAGGGCCTCCAAATCCAGGGCCCCAGGGACCTCCAGGACCCCCAGGCCCAAATCCACCAGGCCCTCCTGGTCCTCCTCCCCAACCACCAGGTCCTCCTGGTCCTCCTCCAGGTCCGCCAGGTCCCATGGCTAACTTCCTAGTCTGTCTTCAATCTCCACCACTGGCAAGAGGTTGCCGAAGAGAATTGCAGTCTTGAAACGTAGGTATCTTACAGAAATGAAATATCAGGGCCGATCGTCCTTTTAAGGTATTTGCGAAGTCTTCGAACTAGTTTGGACTCATAATGTGAAATAGGGAGTTTACTTAAGGGAGAAGGTTTAAGCTGCACTGTTGTAAGGATACGTGTTTGGTCTCCCACAACAAGAAACCTACCAGTCAAGTCAGTTATATCCTTAACTACTATTCCTTGTTGACCCTTTATCTATCATTCAGAGCTTCAATCAATGAATATGCAAAATTCACACTTGCAGCTACTAGGAATGGCATCAGGTCGGTTCGGGGTGAGTTTTAACTACTATTCCTTGTTGACCCTTTATCTATCATTCAGAGCTTCAATCAACGAATATGCAAAATTCACACTTGCAGCTAATAGGGATGGTAAAACTCGTCTTGAATCCGATTTGAGTTTATGTTTTATTAAACCTGAATTCGATCTGAATTATTTAATATTCGAATTCGATTCGATTCGATATTATGTAAATCGCATCCGATCTGATTCGAAATTAATAAAAATATTATTTTTTAAATATAAATATTTAAAAATATCATTATATAAATATATATAAATAATTAATTAATTAAAAAATAATTTTTTTTAAATAATATCGGATCGAGTAAGGTCGGATTTTATGCATACCCAAACCTGACCCAAACCCGATTGTTACATAATTTTATCCGACACAAAATTCGAAATTCAAAAAAAAAATTTAACTTTATAAAATCGGATCGAACTGAAACCTGTCGAAAATGGACTTGATTGCCGTCCCTAGCAGCTACAGACGGTCGAAATTCGCGCATTTCAACAACATTTACCCTGACAAAAAAAAAGAAACCATTGACTTAAAATTAAACCCTTAACAATTTGCCAATTTCTCTTGTTGGTCTTCACATGTTATTGTGTGATTTGCCAGTTGCCAGGCAACTTATACAGTTTTGGAGTTAAAGACATTCACGATTCACTGTATAAACAACAAAAGCAATGGAAACCATATAAGGTGAATGAATTGGTACTCCAGGACATGGCACTCTCGGATGTTGTCTTTGCTGGTTTTTATCCTAAACCTTGTCCAACTGGCAGTTGGACTCTGAAAATTGTAAATTTGACAAATTTTAGGATACAAATCTGATTCTTCAATGATAATAATTTTTAGGGGAAAGAAAATGGATCAAAGAGCGGGGAATAATAATTAAGAAAAAGCCTCAGATTAGCATTTTGGCACTTTCATCAACGCAAACAACCACCCATGCAGAAAGGATCGACACGGTGCGCTTTATTTGTTGTTGCAGCTCTTGCCTTATGAATCACATCTCATCATCAGCTTTTATTCTTAATAATACTAATAATAATCCACTGAAAATATCTAAAATACCTTCATAAAACCAAAAAAAAAATTAATATATTAACCACGGCAGAAATTTTCAGCTACAGAAAATAAAAACAAAGCCAAAACATGACCAATTTTAAGTTTCAGCTGCCATTTGCAAGGATGAACTCAAAAGCGGGCAAATATAGAAGCCGTGCAGATATCGGGCTAGGGTTTTGTTTTTAGCAGTTTGAACATTTTTGGGCTTTTGTAAAGCTCGCCCGATTTGGTCAATGATGTCTGAGCCTTTCCAAGTTGATTGGGCTTTTGAAGAGTTCAGTTTTTTTAGTCATTAACCATTTCTGGCCCACTATTACTTTTTTATAATTACAGTATAATGCAAAAAAAAGTTATATAATCGTACATAAATAGGAATAGATTATATCATATGAGGGGAAAACTTTTTTTAATTATAAAACATAGGCAGTTTCTTTTTTTTTTTTTTTTAAGTTGTTCATGATTTTGGTATTGTTGAATTAGTAGCATTATGCTTCATTTTTATCACTTAATAAACCAGCTTTTTTTTTTTAATCTCAAATTAACTTAACTTTTAGATACTATTAATTAAACTTCCTATTTACTTAACGACATCCCAAATTATACTACTGGTAAGACTTTATATATATATATACACACACACACTAATAAAAGGCGAGCCTATAGTTGCTTCAAAAATCTTCAAGAGAAATCATGCTTGGCTTTCTCTTAATGTGATAAGAGATTATGGGGTAAGGTTTCAGCATGATCTTCCCATGACACATAATAGCACTAGCAGCAAAGCCAATAACCCTGGCAGGTCCATACAAATTTACAAGGTTCGTTGGATTTGATTTATCAAATCTCATGATTTTATTCATAAAATTAGTATCATTGGTTGCAAATGGTATGAATATATGTAATTATCAATCAAATTTTATTATATAATCAATGCTAGATTTATAACTTTTTAAGATTATGATATTTTCTCTTACTCTAATATATATCATTAATACTCTAAAATCAAATTTAATATCAAATATCATGATAACATAAATTTATAAAATATGATCTATTTTAATTTAATAAATCTCACTATTATATATATATATATATATAAACATCTCACATGTTTAAAATAATAAATATTTACAATTCGAGTCAAACTCCAATACACAATCTCCGTAGACCGTGACCAAGGGTGGCCGACCTTACTCAAGGTATCGCAGCTGGGTTTTTCCTTTTTAAGGAGTAAAAAAAAAGAAAAAGAAAAAGTACAGCCCTTAGCTAAAGGCCAGATGGCAACACCAATATGCCAACAAAACGGGAAATTTGTCTTATATTCTGTAATTCAAGATTTTTGTAGTTATGTTATGTACTTAACATTATCAAGTACAGTATTATACAACTCCTGCACAGCTAGCACTCTGACATTACCTCTTTAAAGTAAAGTATTTAATGATGCCAAACAAAACTGATTTCTTTACACCAAAAAACCATCCCTCGAAAGTCGAAATCCTACTCCCAAAACCCCACTGTAGTTGACCCTCAACTCCCAACCATTTTCGATATTCTTTCTTATACTTTATTTTTTTTGCAGGTGTTCTACATGCCTGCCCTGCAATTTTGGAGACTCTACAGGTAAAAGAAAATGACAAACAGCACTAGTTTTACTATTATAAGCGGAAGATCTTGGCCCGTTGCATAAGGCTTTAATTTCTCGAAAAAGAAAGATATGTGACATTTGTAGATGTTTCAATGCTTTGATAACTGACACCCTGAAGCCACCTGGTGCCAGTCTATGGGGCATCAAAGCTCTCTCATATCAGTTCCTCGTCACTATTTGCTCTCAATGCCCAAGCGACTCTACTGCTTAAAAATGGGTTCTTCGTTTCTCAATCATTTATGCTTGCTCTTCCACCAAATACCAATTTCACTTTTGCATTTACTCCCTTCATTTCTTCTTTATTTTTCTATGTTCAATCACAAAAATTTTAGTAGTGATTGCTTGGCTGTGGCCGAAAAAATTCACTGATTGTAAATTTCTCTATTGAAAAACAACACGGGAGTCGAGAGACGGGGAAGAAGTTGTTTAAATCAAAGAACTTCATTTCTAAGTAAATAGTAAAACTTGTAGATGTAAATACTTAAAACTGTTCTAAGGCCGAACCTAAGTGGGGCTCTTTCTCGGACATCAATATCAGTGTTATAAATGAGAAATAAAGAAACCATCAAATCAATGACGAAAAAAAAGGATCGGGACCCATCGGCCTGATCCTTGGGAGAGTGGTCCAAAGTAGCTTAATTAATGAATAAATAACCGTTGGATTATAGCGAGAGTTTTGATGGGGAGGTTCGAACAATCAGGACCACTGAAAATTAGCCATTAATCGAACTCCCCGATGGAAAAAAACAAAAAAAAGGGCAGTAGGCAAGGCCCATGATAAAAACTTCTCGTATCCAACAGATGGGTTTGATAACTCACTCAAACTAACATTTGGTGTGAGGGTTCACCAACTGATTGGTCCTATTGACTTTACCATTGTGGCAAATGACGCTATCAATTAACAATATTTGAACCCCACGTTAGAGCATTTATGGCCCAAATCTAGATCTTTTATTTATGAAATCAAACCTCTTGGATAGAGAAATTTAAAAAATAAAGATATTTTAAAATATTAATATTTGTCATTATTTTATTTATACAAATATTTTTTTACAAAAATTTAATCTATCAAAATTTGACGAGATAAAAAATAATTATAAAATAATAATATTATTAAAAATAAAAATTATATACGTATAAATAAAATATGTAATATTGATAACGTTATATTTGTAAAAATATATAGATATTATTAATAATATAATAAACATTAGAATTAAATAAAATATTATTTTAAATTTGAGTTTTCTATTTTGTAGTGATTTTATGCATTAAATAGATACAAAATTTTAAAAAAATTTAGAAAATTATTTTTTTATTATGAGTGTAAATGATATATTAATACGTTTAAATTACTTGGATTCGATTCGAATAAAACTTGAATTTGATTCGATTATTATCGAGTCTAATTCGAGTAATTTGACTCATCGATCGAGTCGAATTTGAGTATTTTTATACCCGACTTGAGTAGTTTACGAACTTAATCGAGCTTTTATACTTAATTTTTTTATTATTTTAATTAATAAAATATATCGAATTCAAGCTCGAGCTCGAATACAAATAATCGAGCTTTTATCAAGTATAAAAATCAAACTTATTTTTATATATTAATCGAGCTTAATTAAACGAGTTTGAGCAATTCGATTTAATCACAAATCAAACTCAAGCTAAAAAAATAAAACTCGATCGAGTTTAAACCGAGTATCAAGTGACGAGTTGAAAGTCGAACTCGAACTCAGAATTTTCACTGTATCAACTTGACTCGACTCGATTACACACATATTCTTTACTCAAATAAGTAAATTTATTTTTAATCTTTTTAAAATTTTAATGAAAACAAAATTTCTTTTTCAAATATCACATCCAAACACATTTCGAGCGAGTTGTCAATTTTGATATCAGTACATTAAAAAAAAAAAGAAAAACTTTTTTTTAAAGTGTGTATTTTTTTAGCATGATTGAATTTTTTTCCAAGATTTGGCTTGATCTCTTTCTTTAGAAATCATAAAGGTGCATTCTTTTATATTAACTTAATACATTTTAAATTTTAGTTTAAAGTGTTTTTTCACA